TAATTACCAGAACACTGATTAGGATTCTACGCATTTTCCAAAATATTTTGGTAGCGCCTGTATTCTGAAAAAGAGTCTATCTTCACTTAGAGTCTGGATATTGGACCTTGATGAGTAGCAGTAATATCAAAAGACAAAGTTTCATACACTAAGTGAGTAGGTATGTGGACAAAATAGTTATTTACCTAACAAATGCGGAAAGTGATAATATTCCGCAGGTATTAGGCGCAAGATTTCTTCTACCAGTGTGCGAAAAGTACTCACTTTCACCACGCATCTGCGTACAGAATGTAGCACTTTTCCACACGCATTACGTGTTATCCTTATTAAATTGAATATTCATATTAATTAATATAATATTAATAGTATACAGGGTATTAATTAATGATATGCGAATATTTAAAGGTATGCATCTACATGAAAAATTAATGTTTGCTTTATAAACTATGGTCAAAAAATGTTTCTTTACAAAAACTTGAAGTTTTAGGGAAAAAATGGAAGTTAATTAATATTTTCAGAACCGCTTCAGATATTTCACTGATATTTGGTACGTAGTGGAAGTCAATAAAGTTTCATATTTTTCTATGCAAAAATAACTTTTAGCTTCAACAGTGGCGTGCATAATGGTATTGACTTCGATATTTTTTGAGAAAAAACTGGCACGCTAATGATTTTTTGCCAAATAAAAATTATTTTTGATTTTACCGTTCAATTTTAAACAAATGACCTGTCTTGAATTGTTTTCCTCTGATGCGCCATTTTTGAGTAAAAACCGTTCTATTGTCCGAGAAAATTAATGTAATAATTGAAGAATGCAATTTAGCAATAAATATCGAGTTGCTCTGGAATATTTCACTGGCTGTTGACATCTGACAAGTGTCTGTTATTCAAAGCTGTTCGCTGTGACATCTTTTTCATTATTTAGTTTTTACAATCTTGTTAATAATGGTGAATTATTCAAATGCACGTATATGGCCTTGCCGACGGTAATGGTGAGCAAGCCGGACGGATTTATCACCAGAGATATCCGGATCGTGGTTTGACAGATAGTCGAACCTTTTCTAATATTCATCGTCGTCTTGTTGAAACTGGTTCTGTCCGAAAAGAACATCTGAAGGTCGACCTCTAAGTGTGAGAACACCTGAAATTGAGGAAGCGGTGCTGCACGAAGTCGAAGAACATCCTGACACGAGTACGAGTAAGATCGCTAGACACTTAAATATTTGCCATCAAATTGTTTGGAGAATTTCAGTGGATTTTTTGTTATATCCTTACCATATTTTAAGAGTACAGGCATTACTTCCCATTGATTTTCCAAGGCGTGTGACCTTTTGTCAGTGGTATCTTCAAAAAATTACACAAAATCCGCAATTTGAATCAATTATTCTGTTCACGGACGAAGCTAATTTTTCTCGAAATGCCATTCAGAATTTCCACAATAATCATTTGTGGGCAGAAGAAAATCCCTAAGCCGTAACCGAAACCCATTTCCAACACCAATTTTCGGTTAACGCATGGGCAGGAATTATTGGCAACCACTTTATTGGCCCATTCTTCCTGTCGGAACGACTTGACCGATAGACTTACCTCAATTTTCTTCAACAACAGTGGCCTTTGCTGCTTGATGATGTCCCGTTAGTAATAAGAAACAATATGTAGTACATGCATGATGGTGCACCAGCGCATTTTAGTCTAGCGGTTCGTAATTATTTACAAACTGTTTATCCAAATCGCTGGATTGGCCGCGGTGGGCCCCAAGAATGGCCACCAAGGTCGCCAGACCTCAAAAGGTTAGACTTCTTTTTGTGGGGCTATCTTAAGACACTAGTGTACACAAGTACCATTAGCACTGTAGAGGAATTAAGAGAAAGAATAGTTGCAGCTTGTAATAGAATAAAAAACACTCCAGGGATATTTCAACGAGTGCGCAATTCCATGAGAAGGAGAGCGGATGCATGCATACTAAGTGAAGCGGACCGTTTTCACCAATTTTTGTAATAATTTTGTTGGTTTTAATGTTATGCTTATGTTGTCAGTTGTTGTTGTTCATTACCCCTAATGTGTTTAATTTTTCCAATTAAATTAATAATAATTTTGCAAGTTAGACGATAGAACGGTATTTATTTTTTTATTCAAAAATGGCGCATCGAAGGAAAACAATTCAAGAGAGATCATTTGTTTTATATTGAACTGGGAATTCAGAAATTATTTTTATTTGGCAAGAAATTATTGGCGTACCATTTTTTCGCACGCCATTGTTAAAGATAAAAATTATTTTCGTATTGAAATATATTCAACTTTATTAACTTTCAGTACTTACTGAATATCAGTGAAATATCTGAAGCGGTACTGAGAATATTAATTAATTTCCACTTTTTTTCCTAAAACTTCAACACCTCAAACTAACACTAATTTTTCATGTAGATTCACATCCTTAAATATTCTCATATCATTAAGTAACACCCTGTATAATATAATATTGGTTTTACAATTATTGTATTTCTAATAAAACATAGTACGTATTTAAAATTCTGGGTTTATGACTTTCTTTCGCTGCGCTGTTAGAAAAAAATCTTTTTCACGGCCTACAGTACGGGTGGCTTGATGGATTTTGAAGTGTGGTCAGATTCGTTTTAGCAAAGCGAGTGACATTGGGTAGGTATATCAAAATGTCTTAAAAATAAAATGGCCAATTTGGGTGTACATAGGACTGCCCTCACCTAAATTACCGACGCTGGACAAGAGCTTCCAAAGCTCCGGGCATTTGGGTGAAATTATGATTTTTCAACGGACAGCTCAGAATTTATTATTTTATTCCGTAGAAGACTCTATACTCACCGTTTTAACAAAAAAATGATGGATAGTTGGTTGAGAATTCTAAAACGTCTTTAGATAGCCAACATCTCAAATTGTTGAAGTATGGTGAGTACCAGAAAAAAAAATGAAGATTTTGAATTAAGACTAAAAGCGTACTAATACTGAAAAATTTTCAAAAGTTCATGCGTATCTGCAATTTCATGCGAAAATGTGTTTTAGTTATTGTTGTTGCATTGTTTTGTTTGTTTTCTTGCTGTATTCCACCAGTAATTGGCATATCTGTTAGAGGTGTATAAATAAATAGACAGACGAATGAGTGAGTAAATAATAAAAATTATATAAATAAATGAATAAATAATACAGCAATAAATATATTGGGCTTCTCTATACTGAAGAATCTTTGATGGCAATAATCGAAATCACGATCTCAAATTACTTCATCGTGCCAAGTTCCCTTCGGTTACAGCAACCAAATTTTAAAATGGAAATTTTGAATAAGTATCTTGCAATTTTGAGGCTTACTATTTAAGAAATTTCTCACAGATGTTGCTTATTTGCTTTTTCAACCAAAATCAATTTTTTCCAAATAAAGTTAGAATGTCCTAGTGCGTATGGGGATTCGTTTTTTACAATTCATTTTGAAAAAGGTTGATCATAGAGGGTATCGGACGAGCAGGTAAATTGGCAAGAAAAAAAAAATCAGCGTCTAATTGGTTGACTTTGTACTTCTCTCATAACGTCGTCAGTAGTCCATCTGGCAACACCGCATCTCCCCGATTTCTGACAGCACAATGCAATGGATTTTTTTTTATCCTCCGAAAAAGGATCATCCGTTTGATTTTCAAAATTGACAATCAGTCATCTTGCAGGGAGGTATTCAAAAGTTATCGAATTCTTACTGTGGCATCGATTTGTATTCTCAAGCTAGTGGTGTATTTTTTCCAAAGCAAATTTAAAAGACATTCTGATATGCAAAATTACAATACTCATAACAAAGACAATTTTATTAACAATAAATTTTATCTCATTTGCTATACAAAGTATCCAGTTTACGCTGGATGTACGCTTTTAAACGTGCGTGAGGTTACGTCGTTGAATAGCTTTAAAAGAAAGGTTAAAAACAATTCATGGGAAGGCTGCTTTTACAGTTTTTGACGAGTTTCTTGCTTATTTTGAAAAACTGAGTTACACTTGTCTGTCGGCCCTTAGGTGTTTTTTTTTATATTTGTACATTGTATCGGTTTTTATTTCTTTTTCTTATGACGCATTCCATGTCTTCGCTTGATGACTCGTTGAATAATGAAATATTATTATTGTTACTAATACGTTAGACGCGGCAGCGACGCGTTGATGCCAGAACACCAAGTCGCGGCACGCGTGCGGATGATTCCAGACAGCAAAAGCAGGGTCACATATCAAAAACACTCTATAATTTCAAGTTTTAAGTGCAAATATTTGGGGAAAGGTATGATGTCTGGAAGATGCCTAATAGTTTGTAGAATGACGAAGGTAGGTAGCGGATAAATATACCAACATGAAAAAATTGAGACATAATTCTTTATTTTCCTTTTAACACTTAACTGTGTATGGAATCGTTAAAGAAAAGAATTCAATGCAATACAAGATGTAAATAAAATACAAACACATATACATGAAATTAATGAATAGATAAACAGACAACATTTACTAGCAAATCCAGACATTCAATAAAAATCGCTTCAACTCTGCTTTGGAAAACTTCAAATTATCACAGCAATTGACACGTACAGGTAACATCGTCCATCCCCCAAAAACCCCACCCCAACTGCCTCTTAAAATTTCTTTTAAAAATGATCAGTATCCTCTGAAACGTCAAACAACCGAGTTTTATTTTTTCGTTTTAGCCTTTTTCTCCGCTATATCTAGACCGATTTTCAAAATCAACAAAGTTTTGTCGTTTTTGACACAATAGTAATTGTGAGATATGCAGTACCGAGCAAAAGTAGAGAAAATTTTTCTTTTTTTAATTTTTATTAAACTATTAAAGTAAACTAAATACTTATGTTTTATTATAACTTAATGGAACGTGCCAACATGAAAATAAATTTTCCGCTTTAATAAAACTATGCTAACAATTATTATTAGAAAATACAGCAGGCAAAAATAGAGAAACATAATATACAAAGCAATTGTCGTATACAAAGAAGCTAATACTTTATTTTTGATAACTGCTAGACATCTTCTTCTCATAGAACCAATTAGGCTATCTATTGTTTCTTTTGGAATATAATTCCATGCGACTTCGATTATTTCAAATAGTTCAGCACTATTTTTAAACTTTTCTGGATGTTCAGTCCGAATTTTTTGTTCAACTAAATCACATAGGTTAAGGTCTGGACTCTGAGCTGGCTACTTAACGACATTATTATTGTGAACTGCAAAAAATGTTTTTATTATTTTCGCTGTGTGCTTGGTTCGTTGTCGTACTGGAACCGCCAGCGTAGAGGCATGTTTTTTCTGCGTAAAGTAGCATGGCATTAATATTTCCAAGTATTTGTACCGGTCCATAATTCCTTCAATTTTTCCGAAGGGTCCCATTTGAAGACCACACAAGCAACCCCATACTTGAATTTTCCCGTCTCCGTGTTTGATTGTGCCCAAAGTGAACTTAGGATCAAATCGCTTGTTTTTAAAACATCTTACCCATAAAATGCCATCCGATGAAAATAAATTAAATTTACATTCATCAGGAAATAATGCAGAATTCCACCTTGTTTCTGACCAGTTCAAATGATCGTAAGCAAATTGACGTGTGGTCCGATTTTTCTTGGAAATAAAGGGTTTTTTAGACGGTCTCCTGGCTAGTAAATCCCTCTCCCTTCGAACAGTGTGGACACCAATATTTATTTCTTCAAGTTGAGCTGTTATGTCTATAGCGGTAGTAAATGGATTTTTAAGAGCAAGTGTTTTAATTTTCCTATCAATCCTAGGTGTGGTTTTTCGCGGTCTACCAGTCTTAGGAGGGCTTACCAACGATTTTCTGGGGCGAAACAGCTTAATAGTTCTGCAAATTACCGATCGGCTTAAATTCAGCTGTTTGGCTATGGTTGCTTGTTTAATGCCTGATCGATATTTTAAAATAATCAATTCTTTTATTCGCAAATTCAATGTAATCCCTCTGGCCATGTTTTTGAGCTACACTTGACCAAATACACTCAAAAATAACATCTGATCTGATCAACGACTAGATATAAACTAAATATTTACAAAATGTTTCTCTACTTTTGCTCGTTGAACAATGAATCGACCATATTATATTACAAAAAAAGAATGTATACAAAGGTAAGCATTTCATTATCTTGAGGTAGTCATACATAAAAAACTTTAGTGTACCGTTTTGGGCTGGAGTAAATCTTTCTGGATTTTTATTTGTTATGTGGTTTCTTTCTCTACTTTTGCTCGGTACTGTATATTTCCCCCACTCCCCCAACCTCTAACCTCTAATTTTTAACCCCTACACAAAATTTTCCGGAAATGATCACGAACGTTAGAAAACGAAGTTTGAACAATTTCATTTTTTTTTTGTTTCTACCCCTAGTTTGTTGATGATCTACAAGAATTCAAACGTTTGCGCCGCTTGATAAAAAACCAGATTAAATCGGCGAATGATCAATATATTGAAAATATCCAGAATTCTTTAACAATTAACCCCAATGCTTTTTGGTCATACAACACATCACGAATCCCAGGGATAATGAAATTTCAAAATAATTATAGATCAGCCTCAGGATATAGTAAACGCGTTCAGCGAGTTTTTCAGCAGCGTCTATGTCACTTACAAGCCCCATAATAATGCCTCACTAAATCATAGTAATTTATTTGTCCATTTTCATCCAATTGAGGAAAATGAAGTCGGGAAGGCCATTAGATCACTCAAGGATAAGATGACATCTGGTCTAGATGGCATCCCGTCCTTTATAGTCAAAGATTGTGTGGAAGTGTTTGTTGGTGTTCTAACTAGGATTTTTAATATTTGTCTTATAACAAAAATATTTCCAGATATTTGGAAGATCGCTAAGGTCTGTCCAGTGTTTAAGTGTGGGGATAAGTCAAATATTGAGAATTACAGGGCAATCTCTATATTATGCATGTTCTCGAAAGTCTTTGAAATAGTCTGGTACAGTCGCATTTACACTGCCGTCCAGCGTCAGCTGTCATTGCATCAACACGGATTTGTACCTCTCGGAAACCATTGATAGTAATGAGCAAGTTGACGTTATTTATACCGACTTTTCGAAGGCTTTCGATAAAATTAACCACAAAACTTTATTATATAAGTTAGGTGCACTTGGTTTCACAGATGATGCTAGGGAGTTGATGAAATCTTACTTATCCGATCGTAGACAATTTTTTAGCTATAATGGCTTCCAATTTGAGACCTACTTGGCACCTTCTGGAGTTCCTCAGGGGTCCAACCTGGAACCATTACTGTTTTTGATATTTATTAATGACCTCTGTGACTCAGCTGAATGTGAACGCCTATGCTTTGCTGACGACCTAAAAATTTATTCGCAGATAAATACTCCTGATGATTGTATCAAGCTACAACACCAATTAAATTTTGTGCTGTCTTGGTGTGTAGAAAACAAGTTGGAGCTTAATGTGAGGAAGTGTAAAATAGTCAGCTATACCAGGAAAATGAATGTTTGTGAATATCCGTACTCTATTGATGGGTCTGTGCTAGAAAGATGCTCTGATATAGATAAAAAAACATCAGCAGCATTGGCAGCTTATGGTTTCATAGTAAGGAATTGCAGAAATTTTCATAACATAAAGTCTATTAAGCTATTATATTATGCTTACGTTAGATCCAAAGTCGAATATTCTAGTATTATTTGGAGCCCTTACTATGAATGCTATAGCACAGCTATTGAAAGAGTACAACGGAAGCTTATGAAGTTTGTTCTGTTTAGGATTGATGGGACATATCCAGAGAGAGGTACAGGTAATGAGGAACTATGTAGTCGCTTAGACATGTTGACTTTGAAAAAACGTAGGTACTGTGCCTCAATAATATTTGGCTACAAAATGATCAACAATTTAATTAATTGCCCCATGATCCTGGAACAGATCAAGTTTCGTACTCCAACGTTTGCATCTCGCAATCATAAAATATTCGGGCTTCCTAGAGCTAGGACAAACATTCTTCTCAAGTCACCGTTATATGTAATATGCTCTAACTTAAACAGAATTGGATGTTACTGTGATATATTTACGAGAAATGTTAATTACCTGCTAAATGCAGCTAAGGCTTATTCGGACCACTAGCTCATGTTACAAATTTATACCTGTGTTGCATTGGTTGTTTTCTTTTCGCTTTTGTATTATGTCTATAAATTGTCCTATAAATGGGAAACTGTTGGACAATAAAGCTATTATTATTATTATTATTATTAGTTCCGCTGCCACTGGACCGATTTGCAAAAACTACAGAAATTTCTCATTCTTGGCACAGTAGTGCTTGTCAAATTACAGCGTGGTCAAGGATTAGCGGACAGCTAGACGAAAATGGGTGACATGCTTTTTCAATATGTACATTTTTCAGTAGGCGTGGGAAGTGAAAATTTATTCTTTGATAACAATAATATTCCTTGTGTGGGAAATAAAACCACTGAATACGCATCCAGTGTCGCCAGCGTGGGTGTACCGCCATCAGAAGCAAATAATCCAACAGACCCATGAGTGGGTCATCAGTCCCACCGCTGTAAAAGAGACATGTCAACGGCCAGCAGCTGAGTCTCGCGAAAGCACGACGTCGCGTCGAAGACAAGAACGCGGTTCGCAAGGACACGGAAAGAACGCGAAAGGGGACTCGTTGGTTGTTTGCCCATGCTGGTATCGATGGTTGGTATTCGCGTAAACGCAATGCACGCATGGCATGCGCCGCCGTTTGCAGACGTCTGGGCCGCGAAGTTTACCGTCGCGAGAGATTTCAACGCGCGCGAGTGATTTGTTTTATTATCTTTGAACTTTTGTTGGAATGACTACTATCTAATGAAGTAAGTGAATCATCATGACTTAAATGACCAAAGGTTTTGGACGAGGTAGGAGCTAGGATACGACTGCACGTACGTACTATAAGCTCGTAGGTTTCAAGGCGCCGCTTTGACGCTCATTGAAAATTGTATTTTTTTTTGTTAAAACTTGTGAGGGTTCGCTGGTTTCAATACAGTCCTACTATTTCAGACAATTGCCCAAAATGTGAAGGTGGAGGTATCGGACTTCAAAAAGCAGGTTAAGCTGAATGAAAGTAGATTATGGTTAGGTAACAAGAAGTAAACGTTTAAAACCAGCGTTCCGAAAAATCTAAGCTTTTGTGAGGTAATGTTAAACTACTTTATTCCACTTTTTTGCGATTTGTTAATAACATTTTATCCCTAACACAGCTTTGGAGATGCAAGGTATTGGAATAAAACCAAATTTATGATTGATACTGAAAAGGACAGGCGAAACTTTGAGTTTCATCCACGTTCATTTTGAATCTAAGAAAGCTTGTTTCATTTTAGTGCCATGATATTCTATCGAGGAAACTTAGGGCTCCCCAAAAGTCTCTGAATGTCAAGTTGCTTAAAATTCTTCTAATTTTTTTTTGGAATAATATAATGACAATTGGGGCCTGCAGTTATAGAACTATTCCGATAATCGATAAAAAATTGATGATCAGTTTTTTAAAAAATATTTTTTTGCGTATAATATGGGAAAAATGGTCCTATTTACTACCTAAAATAAACGACAATTATATTGAAAAATGAATTACATTCGTTATGCATTTCTTTATGCAATTAAAAACAGTAATAGTAATGGACGTATTTTATTTATCTACATTGTAGTATAGGCAAATGTCAGACGTATATGGCGAAGTTTAGCATGCTGCTACTCTTACATTTAACCATATACGAGCCCCTTCCCACTTCAGTTGGCCCACTTCAAGATTTGTACCAAAATATGCCTTTATAAACTAAACATAACGAAACTATTTATTTCTAAAACAATTTATTTTCTCAAAAACATTTTAGATACACTCTAGTCGTAAAAATACATATTTGAAATCACTTAGACCTATAACTAATAGAACATCTGAACAAATAAACAATGTGCGAATAAATGCGCGAAGTTAACAAAGCAACAATTGAAAGATTACCATTGGGTAACATCACCTTTATTTTTTATTACGGCTGAAATTCTTTGGGGCATAGTGTTAACCAAGTTCTGTCAAAAATTTGGTGTAAAACAATCCCATATTTATTGAAGCTTTTGTCTCAGTTCGGTGATTGTACGAGCAGGATGTTGTCGTAGAACCTTTTTCGTCTCGTGCCACAAAGTTTCAATAGGTGACAGATCTGGACTGCTAGAAACCCGTTTCAAAAGTGGTATATTATCTTCTTCCATCCATTTTATAGCCTTTTTTGAGGTATGGCACGCAGCACCATCTTGCTGAAACACAAAATCTTGGCCGGATGTCAAACATTCTTTCATCACTGGTAAAAGCGATTCTTCTAAAATTGCCAAATATTTGTTTGTATCCACATTTCCATCAGTAAAATGAAGTTTTCCTACTCCTTTTGATGACATACTGCCCCAGACCATAATGGATGCTGGAAATTTCACTTTTCTCTTCAGACAGTCAACATGGAATGCTTCATTTTTTTTGCGAATAACTCTACTGCGACTGTCACCAACACAAACTTCAAATCCGGCCTCATCACTCCATTGTATTGCACACCATTGTTGAGGTGTCCATTGTCTATGTTCTTTAGCCCATCTAAGCCGATTTTTCTTTTGCAGTGGAGTTAATAGTGGCTTTTCTTTGGCCTATAAACAAGTTGTGCAACTTTAGGGTTTTTACTTCACTTTTTTGTTATAAGAAAACTTACCTTGCAAGTGCTAAATCCCAGTTTGTGGGACTCTCTATTAGTTGAGGACCTCGAAATTCTCCTTCCAACAGCGTCACTCCACAGAGCACTTAATTGTAAATAATTGGCACGCCTGTTTTTCACGATTATTCTTCTTAATGCTCTTCGGTCGGCGTATATGATATTACTTTTTTCACATATCGTGGCTTAATATTAACTGAACCAGTTACGTTATATCTTCTAACAATATTTCTCACACTGTATCGCGATAAGTCTAACAAAGTTGCAATGTCTGAGTTTGAATTCCCAGACTGAATTCATGAATTCATTAACCGAATTTTCTCACTAATAACATTGCCTCTACCTATTTTGAAAATCTTAACTACCCATAACTATTTTAAACGTATTCTGACAGCTGTGATTAATAAAAACAATTATCATGGCTTTTATCTTTCACAGCCACCTATGCGTTATAGAATTATTTTGCATTGAAATGAAAATAGGTTGATATGCTGCAAATTTGATTAGGCAGTGATAAAGTTGGTGTTTTCTACTATATATTATCAAAATATTCATTGTTAATATTTGAAACCTATAACACCCTGCTACATTTTTATTATTTGTGTTTGATAAGAAAAAAACTAAGATTTAAATAGTTGGGCCAACTGAAGTGGAAAGGGGCTCGTAGTCGCTAGCAGATGTTCACAACAATACACTATTCACAGATTTGGTATGTTATATCGAAAGTAAATGATGAAAAAAGAGAAAGACACACTTAACAAACCCAAGTACACCAAAAATTATTAATCTGACTAAAACAGGGGATAAAGAAATAAATGCCTGATTGCGTAAATTGTATGATTATTGTTTAATTTTTTGTCGAATGGTATTACAAATAATAGCAACATTGTAAGAAAATGTTCTGTTCTCTGACAGTTCTATACTGAACAGCATTATTATATGGATGTTTTTCAACTAATAGCATTTTGACGTGAGTAGCAATTTGTGAACAAAAACTGAATAGTGATGCTTGACCAAGTCGTTAATTTTTAACCAGTTTAGAACGGAATATTTTGCTGATTGCAAAATTTAAGCCAAAGATGAAACGTATACAATTGTTTTGAATAACTTGAATGACGTTTTTGGTGAAATTGTCCAAACATGAGTAGTTTACGACATTACAATAATGTTACATAGTTTTTTAAGTAACTTATAATTCAGTAATGTCTGTTTGCTATAAGGGTACGTAGCCTAAGGTAGGTAATCTGTGAAAGACTTTTGACATGCTCAATAAACCCTCATTTATTGAGAATATTCAGTAACCCTTATAATCTCATCCTATTTTATAAAGCGACTATGATTTCCTTCATCTTCAATTCGCCGCGAGATTTTTATTTTTATCATTCCACTTTGGAATTGACATTGTCGGTGGTTTGAAAGAACCAGCTCAGTTACTTCTGCGTAGGTAGGACAACGACAACTTTTTTAGCTATGCAGTTCAAGTGATAATGTTTATTGGTGTCTTCTGTCACTGGCATATACATTTGTTTATGCTATCTCGTAGCTAAAAGGAGTACAACTGTCAGTGATGCTGAGTGAACGAACTCTCACGTCAACTACAAGCTGGAACAAGTCAGGACATGTCGCTCAAGATACAAATACCAGTCAACCTTTTACTTCTTCTTGGAGGATATCCTCGCGAGTATAAGGTAATCATTAGGAATATGAAAACAAGGATATGCTTATACTTCTACCTTTTTCTCCGAAGAAAGACCTTATACTTTCACCTTATGCTTCCGAGGATATACTTCTCTTTTATGAATACGGCTCATTGTCTGCTCTGAAGCATATCGAAGAATCTATTTGTGCGCTGGTCCCTCAGAGGGAACCAGAAATGACCGGCCCCCCTCCTGTCTCAATGTCGAATAGAATCTGAAGACTCACCAACAGAAAAGAGGTGTGCAACATCCGCTGTTCTATGTCAAACAGTATAAGCTACGATCGATACATAGGGTTGCAGAAACGCCAGGCTTTTGTGTCAGCTCCACGCCGTAATTTAATTTTATCTATGTCGCCTCTAATAATAACATTGTTTAGGTAAATAAGATTGCAGAGGGTGATATTTAGCAGAAATTGTATGCCTATAACTTACCCGCTATATATTACTTGCCTTGTGTACTATTTTTGTTTGAGAGCTTTCGCATTAATGGTTCCTTGAATACTTATTTCAGGATGGGAGGCAAATTTCCATACAATTTATTACTTTACGTTGTCGATATCTAGATCAAGATTCTTGTATCATGGAATATTAATATATTCAATTGTATCGAGACCAGTCGTCAATATGAAGTCGTCCTTGTTCAGCTGTTTGTTGACTTACATTGGCAGTGTAAAACTTGATTTCTTGCTCTGTTCATTTAAAATCCTGCCCATTCATTTCGGTCTTTTATGAAGAATTAGTATATTAAATGCATAAAGGTTAACAATAAAAGTGATGAAGTTCCAGTTTAAGCTGATCGGAATCAAATTATTTGTGTTAAGCTCATTACATTTGTTGTATCATTAGATTCTGTAAAACGTTACGCTGAGGATATTTTCAATCTGCTTCATTTTGTTTTGTTTATCCTTATCTGGTTGTAACAAATACAAAACAACTTTATTAAATGAGCTCAACTTTTGGAAAAACTTTTGTATCTACCGGGAACACATCTAATCCCAAACGTGTTTATTCTAGAATAGGTTTACCGTCATGTATCTCGCAGAGTTATCAAAATCCAATCATAAACTTTTGTCCAACTAAAATAAACTCATATCCAATTTTCTCCAAAATAAACTTTGGATAGGCAAAATTATTCGAGTAACCACCGACCACGTCTGAAAACATTCATTTTCAACTGATGTAATTCTTTTCTTCCTCTCTCCTTCTCCGCATATTTTCTTGTTTTTTTCCTTTCCATATTTATCTGTTTTTACTTCCTACGCCACTGGCGAGGATATATTGTAATCGTGAAAAATTTCCAAAATGAGATATTATGATTTTAAGATGTTATATGACATGTACATTACGAAGATTGGGGGCGGCGGGGGAAGAGATCAGAAGCGAAAAAATAAAAATCACCCAGACTTTGTTTTTATACATTACCAAAAGCTCCTTATCATCTTCAGCAAACTTCTTATATATGTCAATTTTTTGATGCTACAAATTTAATTACACAGGGTGTCCGCAAAGTTGGGGGTTTCCTTTCCACGACGTGTAGATCTTGAAAACATAAGCAATTTTTCTTAGTACCATATACACCGATGTCTTAAGGGAACCGAGATAAAGGGCTCTGCAACATCAAAAATATCTGAATACCGTCCTGTAGCCGCGACATCACCGACTGGTACAAGGCCACTGGCTCAACCCGACGACACAACTGGGTCGGGGTCAGTGTGTCAGGTCAGTATGCAACCTTCAACCGACGGTTA